GACGCCGGCCTCTCCCCCGCGGATCTTCACTGCCTCTGCTACACTCGCGGCCCCGGCATGGGGGCCCCACTCCAGGTTGATTGTAGGGCTCGAAACGAATCATATCAAATATTTGTTTTGAGAATTTGATACTCCAAAGCTTAGAATTGATGTTAATTTAACAATTTGACACTCCAAAGTTTAATCGGCAATAATTTGACAATTTGAAGCCCCAAAAGCACTAACCTAGTTCCACGCTTTCTGCAAACTTAAGGAACTGTAAATTTGGTGAAAAATATCTGGCATTCACTTTTCTGCATTAATATTCTTGAACTCAATTAACGTTATATTTTTTGCACTCTGGAGTATCAAAGCATCAATGCTGAACTTCTAGGGGTCAAAAAGGGTGAAAGCCTTAGGGTGTTAAAGTGCAAACAACAATTAATTCTTTAGAATTTATGATTGTTAAACTATTTAATTAGAAGAAACTTTTACTTGATTAAATAAATATTCTCATTTTTGTAAAGAATTTAATTTTTAAATAGCATTTTCATTCATAAGTGAAACTATTCCTATATAATCATGATGTATAAATCTGTATTTTGAAGGTTGGTTAAAAAGCTGATGACTTCTCAGGCCTCTAAAAAATTAGTATATAACTTGAGCTAATAATGTGAGTGGTTTAAAAGCATAAATCATGCGTGTAATAGTACAAATTGCAAGGGATGATATCTTAAACAAAAGTTTAATAGTCAAACGAATCGAATCTACACCTAGTTAAATGTTATTCGCTTTTGAATCAAATACTAAAAAGTATATGCTTACTGTTAAATAAGCTACTGAATTGAAAATAACTAAACAGTTAGATGAATTATTGATGAACTACTTGTTAATTATTTGGTTCGTTTCCACCCCCTACAGGTTGGTGCCCTAGCCGTCAGAATACTGTCGAAGCTCTGGAACAAGCCAATCGTGGCAGTAAACCATTGTGTTGCGCATATTGAGATGGGAAGGGTGGTGACTGGGGCTGAGGATCCGGTGGTACTTTATGTTAGTGGTGGGAATACTCAGGTGATTGCTTACAGTGAGGGGAGGTACAGGATCTTTGGGGAGACCATCGATATTGCAGTCGGGAATTGTTTGGATCGGTTTGCTAGGGTGTTGGAGTTGTCAAATGATCCTAGCCCTGGGTATAATATTGAGCAGGTTTGTGTCTGATCTTAAATTACCTTAACACTAGAAGTTATTTTTTCTTGCATGCATGCTTCTATTCTTGAAAGTATTTGATACTGGTGCATAGTATGCTTTGTAGCATTGAATATGAACTGTATAACCTAAACAGGAGGCTTAAGTGGGTCGGTGACTACCTGAGATTCTGAGAATGGGTGTTGTTTGCTTTATAGTGATTAATTATATGTGTGCTATAAATTGATGTAAATATTGAACTGCATTCTGTTTTTATCAAGTTAGGTATGTTGCCTTTTATACGTCCGGAAGGGGGTGAAAACCTCACAATTGCCCCTCTTCCCATATCCTTTAGTCTTGGCATTGAAAGAGCTAGGTGGCTTCCATATTGGGCAAGTGCCTAAATTGGTTTTGAGAAATTCTCTTTGCTTTCAAGCTGAGGAATATATAGTGCCAGTATAACATCCAGAATAAATTAACACATTCTTATTAAATCTCAATCATAAAATTTCTATCCTTTATCAGCAAAACAATTGTTACTCCTAATTGATAAGCATATAATGCTTTGGTTTAAGATTGTGTTTGGATTCAAGGAATTGATTTGAAATCTTAGAATTCAATTGTAGAATCTCAAATTCGTAATTCAATTCCAATTCCATTGTTTAGGAGTCATTAGAATTCCAATTCTAAATTCACTGTTTGAAAAGGCGTTAGAATTTCACTTTTAGAATTCTCATACTCAATTGTTTTGGTACTATTAGATTTCATTTCACTAAAGTACTAGACATCATAAATCTAAGAAACAACATGATTTGT